TTTTCATGGTAAAAATGTATTCTAAGCCTGAAAGTTACCTCCTGGTCTTTCAATAAAAGGGTTTATAATATTGCATCGCCATTGAAATAAATACACCACTGGGGATACTAAATTGTCAATGGCTAGATGATGCATCTTTTGAATTAAAAAGAATTCTGGATACAAAGTCTATAAGAAAAGTGGGATGTGTTTTTGGTGAAGAAGGTTAAAAGGAACAACGATGTGGTTTTTATTGAAGGAAAATATATTTAAGGTTTAGTATTTAAGGGTTCTTTAAGGGTTAGTATAAATCGAAGGAATAAAGAAAGAATGATATAGATGAAATTGAATGGATATGGTTGGGGAAAGAAAATAAAATTGTAGGAAGTGATAAAAGCCTTATGGAAATCTTGTGTGGTCAAAGCTGGCTGATTGAATGGATTTGTTTAAAATATTTTATTAAGATTAGCTTTAGCATTACTGGTACAAAAGTAAAATTTGGTTTCCTTCTTTAAACAAGATTTGTGTGTAATATTGATAAGAGACAGTAAAAAATTTTTGGTCACTTTTTAAGTAAACTGCAAAAAAAAGCGGGGGGGGGGGGGGGAGAGAATTCGCGATCCTGTGTTTATTAGGTCTTTGCATTACTTAGAAAAACTGAGTTACAGATTTAAGGTTTTTTTCCAAATATGTAACTTTTTGCATGAATGTGTTATTAATATGCGTTCCAAAATTGTATAAACTTCCCAAAATTCTGATATTTCTTGGTATATGTGGTAAGTCATAATTATGGCTACTATGAAACACTGTTGCAGGCCATGGAAATAACCATATTTCCTTGTCAATTTTGTCTTTTATCATGGCCATTTTAAGTATTGTTGTCCATAGCAAATTGCTTTATTTTGATGCTTTTTTTCCTAAAAGCTCTTTGAAAATCCTAAAGTGTTGTTTCTTCAAGGAGGTTCACGGAAAAGATAAAAACACTCTGACAGGTACTCTGAAATACAAACCAATGCTGATTATTTAACTGGACTGGGTAAAAACTCCAGAACTGATTTCTGTGACCAAATGTGTGGGAATTTTCCTCCACCAGCAAGCAAGCAAATATATATGACCAGACTGCTTTGAGGGATTGAGATTAATTTTGCAAAGCCAATAGACTTGGAAAACAGACATGCCTGGTTCCCTATCTACATCCTTACGAGGTTCCCAGCCTTGTAGTAAGTAAAGAATGTCACTTTCTGAAAAGCTTTAGAACCTCAAGGTATTTTAGGAACTTCAGGAAGAGAGAAATTCACCCAACTTATTATACAGGTATTACAGTCCAAGAGCAAGTCAAATCCTTGACTTGGTTTCCTAAGCTTCAAGAGGTTCTTAATAGTCTAATATGAGAATACTTATGAAAAGTTCCAGCAAAGCCAACTTTAAAAGAGCCTACATAATAAATCACTATTCTTACTGCATTTTATGCAAATAATGAAGCTAGAGACTAAACTTATTTTGTAAATGAATCAGTCTTGTCAGAAATATCTTTGGTGAAAAGGGGGAACTGGAAAGAGAAAACTTATGTTTCAAAAGTACACTATAGTGCACCTTTTATTAGATTCTAGCTTTGCCCATTGTTTTTGACTTTTTTTTTATTTTCTGGACCGAATCCTGAATTTTCAATTTCCTCCAATATCTGGCTGTGACTTTCCAAACTAACATTTTCAGTTTTTCTCTCATCCTTCTGACTTGGAATCACTAGAAATTAAAACTGTCTTTTCTTAAGGCCCTGCCGGCTGAAGGGAATCAACTTGGCTTTGATGAAAAATCACCAAAACAACTTCTATTTGGAAAACTTTGTACACTGTGATATTGTGAAAATATATTTGGTTTTCTTCACCACCTCCTGACATACAACTCTTAAGATCCTTAGAATCTCCAAAATGATAAGAGTCTTTTCATAAACTGATGATGGCTGGCAGCCTCCAGATAGCTTCAGGATGGAGGAGGCTGATCACAGGATAGACCAAGGTGGGACTTTTGGTCCCACCCCCTAACCTCTTGGGAGAGGAGATGATTGTGCTGTGTGAGAGCAGCCCACTCACTCAACACACAAACTGCAATCCAAAAAATTTTGTGAGATTGCCACTGCCAACTAAAGATGCTAGAGACTCTAGAAAAACTAGCTTATAGACTGCTCCAGACATTAACCTTTTTTATTTTTTTCTGTATGCTTACACCATACAGAGACCTAGCCTTGATGGGAGCCCATCTGCAAAGCAATTTCCTAGAATGGGACACAACTGTTTAACTGAACTGACCTGTTCTCAGGACTAAGAGACTGATTCAAGAAAATATAAAACAGCATACTCAAATTTGTTTTCTTTTCTGCTTGTTACAGTCTATGTTTCCTCCTTTCTCTATCTCTTATCTCAAAATTTCTAACCCAAATGTCTTCACGGCTACCAATTCTACTTTAATATGTAAAGTTTTCTAAAAAATAAAGTTTCAAAAGAGGGACTGATGGAAAGCAAAGTATTTCAGCGCAAAATATACTTCCATGACATATTTCAAGACGGCTATTCAAAGGGGCTGGAAAAACAAGAATAGCTAAAAGGCTGCTTTCTATGGAAGAAATTTGCATCTATAAAACACACAAGTAGACTTCCTCTGAGACTCCTCCTTTGCCTACCATCTATTCTTTCTGAGGGCAGCTTCCAGGTTACCTGAGATATTTTTTTCTGCACAATAAGACAGTCTCTGCCTAACTTACTTTTCCTTTCTTTACCTGTGATGACACCTCCCCCAGAGCTTAGAGAAACTTGGTCCTTTGTTTTTTCTTATTAATATGAATCTTGTCAGCTGATTTTCAGTAAATCTTCAAAGAGCAAAGGCAAGGTTTTTCCCTTGGCCCCTGCACATGCATAAGTTCTTTCCCCATTGATAGATACTGAGTAG